ATTGGCATTAAACTTAATTAGTGTCTTTTTTCTAATCAAGGCTACCAATTTACCCATCTCTGCAAGCGCCATCATTTTCACCATCCATTCTCCCACTGTGAATGTCAAATGTTTCCACTATTGTGCATAGAAGTCTCACTGCAGTTATGATATATAAAAACAGTTTCATGACTTTTTTTTTCTTTTGTCAGTCCTCAAAATACCAATGCATATTGGTTCATTGCATATTTAAAATCATCTGCATTTATGTTGTATGTATCTAGACCCATTTTTTAAACATGTCCACCAGGCATGATAAAAAGTCACACTTGTTCACATTCATTAAAATAAAATGTCTTCAAGATTATTATACAATATAAATTTCAACCTTTTCATCTTCATATTATCCCATTGTTCTATTTGTATATCATAACCAAAATTTTTAGCCATTCTTTCGCTTGTGCTTCTATTTCAAATTTCATTAAAATGTATACATTTTAGCCATAATGTTTTCATCATTTCTACCTAATCCTTTTTCAATTCAGTCTTAAAATGTTCAAAAACAAAAGTCTTTCTATCTATTTCAAGTCTTTCTATAATTGTACATAAGAAAACCATTGACACATTATATCCTTCTAATATCAAATCTTGTCATGATTTAATTTTGGATTTTCCCTGGGAGAATTCTAATATGTCACCATAAGTTACCCACTTGTATTTAGTTATAATTTCTCTTCTATAATATGCTTCTTGTGATGAAAGCCACAAGATATTTTTGGACACAAGCTGAGTTTATATCTATTCAATGTTCTCGATGTGACATGTCTCATAAAATGATTTTTGAAATCTATATTAACCTTAGTCTTGTGATATGAAAGCTAAATGCTTAAACGTTTAAGCTTGAAGCTTACACTTTAAATAATTTGCTCCGAACTCCAGGCATTTTTTTCAGCATCGCCCACTCTTCCATCCAAACAATAAGCTGCAAAAAATAAATTCAAACTACATAAACCCAAATTTCCTCCTCTTTCTTTAGCATCTATAAGAGCCATGGTGGCGCAGTGGTTAGAATGCAGTATTGCTGACTCTGCCTTCAGCTAGGAGTTTGATCCTGACCAGCTCAAGGTTGGCTCAGCCTTCCAATCCTTCTGAAGTTAGTAAAATGAGGACCCAGATTGTTGGGGACAATAGGTACCATCTTATATTTGATTCATGTTTTTTCCTCTGCCAAATTTATCAGATTTAGATAAGTCTTTCCGTTGTTAAGTCATTCTATACAGCCATTTTTGCCAAAGTCATTTAGAATATTGTATGTAAATAAGATGTTCAGCTAAGACGCTGAACTTGTCGATCAGAAATGTCGGCAGTTTGGCGGTTTGAATCGCTAGTGCCGCATAACAGAGTGAGCTCCGGTTACTTGTCCCAGCTTCTGCCAACCTAGCAGTTCGAAAGCACATAAAAATGCAAGTAGAAATATAGGAACCACCTTTGGTTGGAAGGTAACAGTATTCCATGCGCCCTCGATGTTTTGTCATGCTGGCCACATGACCATGGACAGCACTGGATCTTTGGCTTTGAAACAGAGATGAGCACTTCCCCCTCGAGTCAGGAACGACTAGCACATATGTTCGAGGGGAACCTTTAACCTTAAATATAAATAAAGTTGATCAACAAAGTTGATTATGTGCCATTTCACATTTGCCTTTTTTAAAACTGAGAAATGGGTTTCAGAGTAGAAAATAACCAAGAGTCATGTCAACTGTGAGTGATTCATTCATTAAATTATCAGATACTTTCCTTTAAAATGACCAGAAACATCCAGCAGAGGAAGTGCTACATTGCTGGTGACAGTGTAAAATGATGTCAAAGCAATGCCCCTAGATTGAAGAGGAGAGATTTCTTGAGTATTAATTTTCTCCTCCTATAGTAGAAGAGGGAAAGTAGCCAAAAATAGCCATTAACTAATTTTTTTAACCAAATCTTCCTGTGCTTATGTTACCTTCCATGTGTGTGAGCTGGGAATCTATATAAATTTGTTTAATAAAAATGAATATTATTATATTTTCCCGAGTTGTCTAGGTAAGGTTAATGGGGGGGGGAGAATAGTTTAATATCATCTGCTCCACCCAGCTAATAAAAGCCCCTACAGAGAACTTTGGATATAATCAATAAATATGTCATTTTCTGCTGCAAGGTTATTATCAATATCATTTCTGACAAAACATTAGTACTTGTTCTAAAAGCATATAATCACATAGACAAATCCAAAGGAGAAAGCATGCAGTAAACACAGGGATGTGTTTTATTATCAGTATTATGAAATTCTCTTTTCTTGTTGGAATACAATTGCCTAAATCCTGAAATATATTAATAACAGACAATTGGATGAACAAAACCTTATATTAAATCATATATTCTTAAACTATTTATAATTAACATATCTGTTTTGCTTTTTGATCAGTAGACTGTAGATGTCAAAAGTATATCATTACAGTTAATTGGGGATCCGAATACTGTAACAGTCATCTGCAAAAGATAATGAGCTGAATTTATCAGACAAGCTTTAAAAACCCTAGGATTATAATGAATCACTATAGGGAATCCTATTTGTAGGACATATTGAATATAGTCCTAATATCAAAAACTTATCAAGTCCCTTGCAGTGCAAATGTTTTCTTATAATAGATGCATCATGTATAAAACATAACCATGCTTATGTTTTTAGATAACATTAAAGTAACATTAAAACATTTAAAATATTAAAATCACAGATCAACTTTTCATGGAGTCATGGAATGGAAGGGACATTGGAGAGCTTCTAGTTCAATCTTCTGCTCACTGTAGAACTCCATTATGGTATTATCTTCAAGAGATGATCATCAACCTAGGTTTAAACATACATCTGTTCTGTTGAACAATTCTTACATTAGGTCTGATGTCCAGCCACAGTTTGCTTCATTATAATTTGAATTTATTGTTTCTTGTCTTCTGAGCATTTCTGCCCCGTTTTATACATGATAGCCATCAAATACTTAAACATAGCTATGTTTCCTTGCAATCTTCTCCAGGCTAAACATACGCAGCATCTCTAACTGCACTACACAGTTTTTTCCTTCCAGATCCTTAGCATCTGGATTGTTTTCATTTGGATATTTTGTGTTCTAAACAATGACCATAGCTGATAAATATACAACATCATTATCAAAAATTAAAAACACCAATTCAATCCTCTATATCCCAAACAATGCACAATTTGCAGTGCACGAGATACAAATTGATAATTGATAAGATTTAGAATGCTTTTTATAAAATTCAATCATATGTCCAAGTATTCTGACATTGGTTTTTCAGTGCTTTAAATTTCTTTTTCTTTTTCTTTGTAGTTTGTATTATCTTTCTGGACTTAAAATGATTTTCCACTATTGAATCATCACTATTTTCATTACTTTTTCCTAAGCTATTATCACAGTTTCAACCTTAAATCGACTGTACACTGCCATATAGATGAAGTAAAAAATACTTCATAATTCATAATTATGAATAAACATTACAGTTTATTCAAACAAAATATTGGGAACATATCTTAAGTCAAAGCTGTTGCAGTCATGGGATAAAAATTTCTCACTGTAGTTTTGGATAATTCTATCTACCTCCCTTCCTCCATTCTACAACACACACATACACAAACAAACCTTCTCACAAAATTCTTAATCAACAGAATTAAGAATTATACATATATGTGCATAGTTATACATACCATCAATTCAGGAGTTCTTTTGGATGAATATTTACTTACTTTTAATGATTTGGATTTAGGTTTCTAGAAGTAAAGGAAAATAAAAGAGGACTATATTACTAACGCTGTGCAAATCCTTTGAAAGAGATGCTTTGGAGCATCCAGAAATCCACAGAAAACTTTTCTCAAATCTTTCACACAGTTATGGTTTTCCCAGCTGCTTAAGAAATTCCTCCCATTAACATAGAAAACATTTGGCTGCATTAATGATTTCAAAATGTACTTCCATATGTTTCAAAGCATTTATTCAGGAGAATTTGCATTGCTGTTTAAATTACCAATCTAAAGGCTAGTATTGGTTGTGAAATCTGATGGATTAATATGTCATCCTGACATGTTATCAAAGTGAATTAAAAATGATTGAAGAACTGCAGTGGTATTTTGAGGTTGATGGTGGATGATGAACTCTTAATGAAGAATATGCACCAGAATTTTGGCATGACACCTTTATAATATTTGCAGTACAATGAGGATGGTTGTCTTCAAACCCATTATAGGTTTTCTTGCTTTTCTTTCCAGGGCTTGTACTTAACACAAATAACTAATTTTGAATGTATTTCTTTTCTTAAAATCAGTCTCACTGACACTGATGGAATGAGTACAGGTAGTCCTCAATTTACAACAATTCATTTAGTGAGCATTCAAAGTTACACTGAAAAAATGACTGTTTTTCATACATTGTAGCATCCCCATGATCATGTGATCAAAATTCAGATGCTTGGCAACTGACTCATCATACTTATGACTCATATTCATACTATTGCTATGCCCCAAGGTCATGACATCACTTTTTGCGATCTTTTGACAAGCAAAGTCAATGGGGAAGCCAGATTCACTTAACAACCGGGTTACTAATTTACCAACTGTGGTGATTCACTTGATAACTGTGGCAAGAAAGATTGTAAACTGGGGCAATACTCACCGAACAAATGTCTCACTTAACAAGAGTAATTTTGAGCTCAATTGTGGTTGTATGTTGAGAACTACAGTACCTGTATTCCTTTTTTTCCTCTGCAGTCCAGACTTTCTCGTGTAATAGAGGAAGCTCTGGGCATGTGCACGTGTGTGTATGTGTACATGCATGCAAGGAATATAACAGACATACATTCATTGATGATGTATGTGATATTCCCCAAATTATTGAGCTATATAAAGGTACACATGTCTTCTTGTGTTTCTTTTCTGCTTTATTCTGTCTTATTTACTTCCTTTCTGTTTCTCAAAGGCCTTTCACATCTGATGATGAGCGAACAAGGTAAGTCTTTTTTTCCTGCCTTCTTCAGCAACTAATTAAAGCTTCAATCAGCAACCCTTTTGGAAAACAATCAAGATGTTATATATCTTCTCCAAACTTTTGCATTTGTATCCCTCATTTGCCAGACTGCCAGACTCTACAGAAAATAATGCTCACAACCCAAAGTCCAATGTATTGGAGTAAATGAATATATACTGTACATATAAAAGCAACATTGGAGGAGAAATGCAAAATTTTCCTTCTCTTATATGGAAGTGTAACCTTCATGTTTTCAACTCTAGTACAGCGACTTGGTAGACACTGGCCTTCAAAATTAGTCAGTGATATGTAAGATCATGATGACAGTTTTCATGGCATGGACCAAGGACCTGGTAGGCAATATTTATAGCCAACAGTCACTTTCCTGTCACTTTAAAGCCTTAAGTTTTATAGTTTTATACATATATTTTGGTGTGCAGAATTGATCTGCAGAAAGAGATAACTCTAAAACAGGAATCATGCTTATTGAAATTGAGTTGCATATTGTGATTCACTATTTGAAAGTCACAGAACAGGTACAATGGTGTTATGCTGACTATAAAGAAATGATGCAGTTGTTGGAGTATTCCACATTAGATTATGAAAGATTTATATCAACATGTTTCTGGGAGTTAGGTGGCATAATAATAATTAATAATACAAAATATCAAAACCTGCAAATAGAAGTATAATGATTGTGATAAAATAAAGCAAAGATAGTGCTAATAGTGATATGCTCCTAGGGTGCTATCTCAAAACAACTGGAACACCATTTGAACATCATCAGCATTGATAAAATCGCCATCAGTCAATTGCAAAAGGCAGCTTAACTTGGAACAGCTTATATCCTGCAATGGTACCTGTAACCAGCAAACAACATGTGCCTATCCCAGGTCTTTGGGAAGGACTCATATCTACTTGGGTATAAAAACATCTGGCTGACTGTGTGACCCACCATAATAATAATTGGGCATGTATCTTCATCTCATCAAGCAGCAGGGTAGAAACTAAGGAGCTGGGATCACAACATTAAGATATATAAATGTATAATGTATAACATTCAGAATAGAATTCCAATGGTGCTAAAGTGTTTCACTGTAGTACCATTGGGACAAATAGAAACATGTCATATGGCAGGTTATCCATGTTTTAATAGATAGCACAGTTTGGGAGCTGTTAACCTCCTTTACACTGTTATTGTTAATTCCAGGCAGAGAATGAATGTACCTTTTTAAAAATAGTGAGTCTGGAAAGAGAAAGGCAGGATGAAATCAGGGTGACCCAAATGTCAGATTCTTGCATCCTTTGCTGTGAGAAACATTTGTAGAGTATTCTTCTGTAAGGCAAATAGTCATTTCAATACTGAAGAAGTGTATACTTCTGTTTGCTGGACATAGCAAGAAATGAAAAGAAGTGAATTCATAGCACATCTAGTTTGGAATATTGAATGGTACTGGCCAGTCGGAAAGCTTGTATTAAGGCTGCATTAAGCCAGGGCTTTTTAAACCTTGGTTTGTTAAATGAGCATAGTAGTGTGGTTTTCATGGTTTAACTAAATTGGACAGATATCTTATTTTGCTAAGCAAAAATAACAGTGTTATGCATAAGCCAAACTAATTTGTTTTTTTTTAAGTTGGTAGGCTGAAAGATGCCGTCTATTCAATTTAAAGGCAATCTTGGGTTCTTAGACTGCCTCTTAACATGGCTATGTTTCTTTATGTTCCTTATATTTAGTCATATTAAGTCATCTCATTTCTCTTCCTTAACTTCATTCTTTTGAGCACTTATATTTCTCTTTTCAGCTAATTCTCTCCCTAAATCCATCAAAATTATATAGTGTGTGTAACATGCTAATGTTTCTGTGTAAATAATTGTATTTTTAAATACATATTATATACAGTGGGAAATAATATAAAATTCAGTGTGTCTTTATACACCCAGTACAACTACACAAGCCATTCATCCTACATCATTATGGGTAGGTGGAAAATATATTTCCACAGAATACTGTTCTCTTTTTCTTTGTTTTACCCTTGTTTTCTTTATGGTCAATTTGATGTGTTTTTCTGGATTTTTAATATGCTTCTACAATGAGAGCTTGGCCTTTCTCCATATAACATTGGAGTTAAAGAGTTTACAATTATATTTTAATCTGCACTGTGTGTAGTTTGTGATTCTACTTTTTTTTGTTTTAATACGTGTGCTTTTGAGTATTATTCTTTTCTGCTGTGTTCATTGGTTTATGTTCAAGTGATGTGCAGTTTGATCTAATTTTTTTTGTTTTTGTTTTATTATGTCTTTCTTTCTGTTCTTTTCTCTTGCCTTCTCTCTGATGGATACTTCTTCGTACCTGTGCTTATGTGGACATACAACTTCATGCCATATAGGTAGAAGTAAAGGTATAGATAATTTTCCTTTGAAAATAATGTTTCTGGTTATTAACATATATGTAAAATGTTGAGATGTTAATTCTAAATGTATTAGTAGTCCATACAAATGCTTTTATTTAAAAAAAAACCAGGACCTTTCTGGCTATTCATAAGAAATACAGCCTATAATTTATAGATGAACACTTGCCATATGGCATTTAGCAATGGAACGAAAAGAAAGAAATCGTAGAACTTTTTGCAGTGAGGAAGAGATATGTATCAGCTTCAGCTAAGTCACCAGTGTTTTGAGCACTTTGATATGTAATACATACTATGGAACTTCTCATCTTTACTGTAACAACAATAAGATAGCTTAGAGTAGGCAGTTTACTAGACAGTCAGCTTACTCAATAAAAGTGTTAGGCAGACAGCCAAGGGCTATCTTGTATAATGAACCTATGCAATTGTGCTTAAATATGCTGTAGGTTAACCATGAGAGCATCTTGGCTCAAGAGATATTCACTTTATTGGAGTCTACATTAAACAATGTACAAATCTAAATTGGCTACATATAATGTCTGCAAAAGAAGGATGCAGAAATTACCATAAAATTAAAATGAGAGGAAAGAAACAGTACAGTGAGACTCAAATAATTGTTCATACCAGGGATGCATGTAAGAATTTATGTTGCATGAATCTAGTGGAAATAGAAATACTGACTCTGCACAATGCGAACATGTTCTCTTGAATGCCTGTCTCCCTCAAGCACATCAAGTGAGGTATGAAGGTTTAATTTTCCTTTCAGCAACTTACATACAATATGGTGCCAAAAGGATAAACAGTTCAAACTATTCAATAAATATTCAAATTAATTTAAATCCAAGGGGATTGTTGATTTTTCAACATTTGTTGCCAAATAAGCTATTTGGAAATGCAGTATGTTTTGCTGGTATAATATATGGAATTCAGCAAATATAAGGCACAAATCAGAATCTGAACTTGCCATGAGAGCTATTCTCTTTGGAGCAGAAAGGATGTGCTGTTTCTGTTCGGCACAAATTTCAAAGAATGTGGATGTTCTACATAAAATTCTGAATACTTTCCCNCCACGTAACAGAGTGAGCTCCCATTACTTGTCCCAGCTTCTGCCAAGTTCAAAAACATGTAAAAATGAAGTAGAAAAATAGGGACCACTTTGGTGAGAAGATAACAGCGCACTGTGAACCGTTGGCATTTAGTCATGCCAGCCACATGACCACAGAGACGTCTTTGGACAGCGCTGGCTCTTCGGCTTTGAAACAGAGATGGGCACTGTCTCCTAGAGCCAGAAACAACTAGCACACATGTGCGGGGGAACCTTTACCTTTGTCTTAATGTTAACAAACTAGGAAAATAAATTAAATGTAAAAGAGATAATCAAATAAGGCCTAGATTTACTTTTTAAAGCTACATTGTCTGTCTGTCATACAGTACACATGTACGCATAGTATGTCACAGTAATGGTCAGAGATTGCTGGACTGCTGGATCTGGAATGCAGTGGAAAAGAAGGAATGGCCTCTCTTTCCTTTGTATGCCATTCCCTATTAAAGACTTTCTCTCTATCCCCTTGTAACGAGGTAATGAAAAGCTTTGTATGAAAACTCTGTGCTGAATATCAAACAAGTGGCTGTGGTGTTATTTCAGTATTCAGTGCCTGTTCACTTAATAGAACAGTTCAAATTCCAAACAAAGCTGTTGCCTTTGTGAATTTGTACACTGTTTAAAAAGTCAGACGCATTTGCTCACAGTTGCCACACTGTGGTGTCTTGGACAGCAAATTCCAACTTAAAGAAAAGAGGAGAAATACAATGATTAGAACATGTTTTCAGGTAAATGTTTGAGCTCCTGTTTCAAAAAAGCCATCTAGTCAAATTTGTGCAATATACAGTATATATACTTCTGTGACAAGGGAATATAATTGAATTTGTCATTCTTTGTGAAATATTTTTTGAAGAAGAAGTTTTGAATGAGAAAACGAAGTAAATATTCTAATAGTATGAGTATGGCATGCATCCTTTTCTAACTTTTGAGATACTGACAAATTTGGAGCCAAAATCAATCCTCCCTTCTATATGTAGAGCTATATGTAAAGCACTGGGCAGAATTGACATGTAGCATCTTCCTTTCTTCTTGGCTCTATATATGCATACATCGTTGACATCCACGGGCAAATTTTGGGTTCTTTGGTTCTGCTTTCCTTGTACTACAGCAACTGGACATATATTTTGAATCTGAATCCAAGGGACAGTATTCCCAGATCCTAAAATTGTTTTGAGTCTCAGAGCTGACCATCAGACCATAGTCTTTTTGCTAAAAATTGACTTACATCTTTATTTTTCAGAATATAATTTGGGAGCAGAGGAGGGAAAATTTGCTGCATGTTAATGATAAACATTTGAGAATCAGTTATCTTTTTCCAAAACATGAGATTTACCCCTCAAATGAACATTTTATACCTCCTGCATTTTTCTCCCTTGGGCCACAGCATGCAAATAACTTCTGTTTCAGGTAAAAGTAATTTGCCAGCTGGCATGTTCAGCAGGTGGTGTGCATGGTACATAATAGGAGGGAAAGCATTTTAATTTTAATAATAGAACATAAGAATAGCATTGTTTCAATCAACAAATGCCTGAAACCTTCTCTTATTGCTCTCACTTATTTTAGTCATCTGGTGTTTCCAATTAATCTTTCTTTCTTTTTCTTTCTTTCTTTCTGTCTCTGTCTCTGTCTCTCTCTCTCTTTTTTGTGTTTAGATCAAGTGTCACTCAAATAATCTTGCTTTAGTAATGTGTTATAGGGAGCGAGACCTGTGAAGTTTTGGATTTGTTTTATGTTGCTGGAAATCAAACTATGCATAGTCATTTTCCAGATCTGTGAATTCAGATAAAAGAGAATGCCATAGCTGAGTTTTTCCTTGTAAGTCTAAGAATTTTTTAAAAAATGATGGTATTTTGTAAGTTTTTGGAATAGAAATTAGGCTAAATCTGTGTATAACATTTTGAATATGCTAGGGCAGTCCATTACATTTAAATTGAAGATCTTTTTAAATATGTCCTGGATAAATGAAAACAGCCGAACACAGAAATGGTTTGAAATGCAGTTTGTATTCTTCCTTCGGAATGAACTGACCAACAAAGCACTAAGGCCACCACCTTTTATAGTTACTTAGTAATTAGAATAACCTGCACCTCACACGTGCGCACACCCATCCCCTCGTAACCCAACAAAACTACGACCCGGCAATTAATTGTGGATTGTTGTCAGTCAGTTATCACTAGCTTTGTAGATTTACTCAGCTGTTTGTGTAGGAGTGAATCCTGGTGAGTCTTGGCAGCTGGCCCGGGTTTCTCCCCTGAATAGCAGCTCCAAGCCTCTGGGCTGGCCGGAGTTGATATCAAGAAAGCAACAAAACTAGCCAAACACCCATGCCAATATCAGTGGTGGGTTNTAAACTAAAGTGCAGTTTATTTGTTATAGCAATTATAGGTAAATTATTTGTGGTTATTTTTAATGTATTCCTTAACAGATGATACATATCTTTTACATATGGAGGCTTTTACAGTTGTTTTCACTGAATCCTTTTCACCAACCCAAATTCACAAGGTGTTCCTTATTACTTTAATATGCCTACTTTATTAAATAGCTACAGTATTTCTACTTGCAGAAGACAAAAAGAAGGAAAATAATTATTTACTGAGCTTCTTGGAATTGCAACATTTTTCTCAGACCCTCCTCAAGAATGTCTCCTCTGTTAGTTCCAAATGTTCAATTTTTTTCACCAACCATTCTTTTCTCTTTTATGACCTGCCTGTTCCTAATGGGACCTCAACTGTCTTTTTTTTTTTTTTTTGTCCTGATATGCCTGGATTTATACAGCATCTCCAGAACCCATAACACATATGGACAACACAACAATATCAAACAATCTCTCCCACCAATTCCGGCCATTTCCTAACACTTTTCTGCATTATAACATGTGAATAATCACTTAATTTATGGATCCTTGGGTCACAATCCAATCTTAGGTTACATGCATATTTTGTTCTGGAAAAAGAAATGAAACTTGCTCAGTTGCCTTTGACTATAGAATAAAATGTAAATTTGTTAGAGATGTCTTTTTATAAGTTTGCAAATAAAATGTGATTAAATGTACAAAGAGACAAGAAAACTATGTTCAAGTCCATGACAGACAGACAGACAGATCACTGGGAAGGCATTTTCTTAGAATAAGTTGGATTTATGTCACTGAAATGTATGTTGAGCCATCGAAACAAGGTAAATAATACTGAATGAAAGGTGGCAAGGATAAATTCACTGATCTCTTTTTATATGCTTAGTGATCTAAATAAATATCTGTAATGTATTCCCTTTCTACCCATACCACTGGGATTTAAAAGTCTTGTGAATATGATTACTTATGTAGCCAAGAGTTTAAACAAATATTTAAGCAAACTATCAGTTAGTAGTAATTAAAAGAATGTGCTGCAATAGTGTCTAATTACAAAGAGAAATAGCTCTGTTACATCTACAATACCAGCTTCAACTAAAATGGTTAAGTTGTTGATTTGTAATTTTCCCTGACTATTATAGCTTTTATTTACTTGAAACCCCATTTTGAAGTATGTGTCTTTCTAAAAGATAAAAACATTTTACATTTTTCTGAAAGATAAACATTTACCAGTGAAATGCAAAAAATGAAGGCGGGTTGTGAAGAAGGCTTGTTAAATGGCACATAAATGGCATCTTATACCCCAAAAACTATGAAACATTTATCCTGTGGTAAGCTCTGGTTATTAGAAAACTAGCTCATTTCCTATGTGTGTCTATGTACAGTATATAAAAGTTAGTTGGATGTGTTCAGTCTGAAGTTGAACTAATACTCCATATCCATGTGTGAATTGAAATGCAGCTGTCCTTTAGATTTTGCTGCGATGCAGTTTTCAGTCTGAATAAGTGTTATTTAAAAATAAGCAATTAACATAGAAAAGAG